CTTTATAAAAAAGTGTCTGTGACAGATTTTGTGTGTTCAGCTATATTAGTGAAATTATGTGATCAGTTACAGAGTTTATAAATCTTAAATGACATGAAGCATGATTATTTAAGCATTAAGAAGATTTTATAAATCTTTTTTAAATGATGAAATGAATGTAAGATGACTGCAGCACAGAGTCTTACAGATTTCTCTCTCTTCATAAATCTTGATTCTCAAGATGTAAATGTGATCAAAATTACAATCAGAATAACAGCTTCACTGTAATTGTAACAACTTCTTACAAATCTCTTCTTAATGTGATGAATGTAAGATGATCACAGCATGAAGTCTTCATTTAATCTCAGTTTCTAAATGTAAATGTGACAGTAAGATTATAATCGGAGTGATAGCTTCTCTGTGATTGTAATGTAGTTGCTGTAGTAACTGTTATTTTTTATAATTTATCTAGTGATATTTAGCAATCTCTTAAATATAAATATTTCTTTCTTCATCTTCTTTCTCTCTCTCTTTCTTTTTTCTTTCAACAACATTCTTCTTTTTTTTAATAAAAGTTTCAGATAAGCATTTCTTTCTTAATGATTATAAATCTTGAGAGACTTTGTAAACAGCTTTTCTCAATACTAATAATTCATACAGAGAAATAATTTTGCTGTGCTCTCAGAATCTTCTGTTCTTTAAAGATGTTGAAATGTGAGCAACAATGACTCAGTAAGTTTAGAAATAAAATCTCAATTAATCATTATTCAAAACTTTTTTCAGAAGCAATGAAAGAGATGTTTTCAGAATCTTCTGCTTCATTCAAGTCAGAATTTTCAATCACTGTCATTTCTTCAGAAAATGAAAGTGAAGAGACATCATTGTCATTAGTCTCTGTTTATCAGTCAAACACTTATATCTCTAAGAACTTTGAAATCTCTTTTCAGACATCATGACTCAGTTAGTCTGATTCTGATTATGATGAAGTAAGTGATGTTTTTTAATATTCTTCTTCTTTTAGTGCTTTGTAATTAGACTGACTGTTGAGATCTCTTTGAGATTTCAAAGAAACAAAACTGAATGTTGATCTCAATTAAGTTGATCCCAATCACTTCTCAAAATTTAGAAATTAGTTTCAATTTCATCTCAAAATATGAATAAAAGTCTCATTTTCTTTTCAGTTTCAAATGTTATGTTTTAAGTCTCATTTCTAGATTTCTCTATCTCTAAAACAACTTGAATTTTTTTCAAACTTTATTTTGAAAGTGTATTTTTACACCAAAATATGACAAAATAGAAAAATTGGCACATTAAGTCAAAATGCATATATACATTTGTATGTAAATCACTACTCTCAATTCAATTCAAAACCAAAGTGGAAAGCTTGTCCACTTTCATTTCCCAAACAGATTTGGTCAACAATTATTCAGTTGAAATTGGGTCATGGTTACTTTGGTTCTTACTTAATAAGACTACCAAATCATGATAGGGAAATCTGCAGACACTGTGGCTGCAAAGAAACATCAAAACATTTGCTCATGGATTGTTTAAGTCTGAAAGATGACAGACAACAGTGTTTGAAAGAGTTTAAAATTCCACAACTGTCACTTAAGTTTCTATTTAACACTGAATTGGGTTTGAAATGGATGGGAAAGTTTCTCAAACAAACTGAAATAGTCATCAGAAGATGGCTTCTGAATGAAACAGACTGAGTATCTTTAAAGATCTCACTTACAATCTCATTATTTGTTTTTAAATTTCTGTGGAGAAAAGACATAAATCACTGCCCTGACACTCTTGTATGTTTTTCATTTGTTAATTTGTCTATGATCATGTCTCTGATCATTGTTTTTGTAACTTAGTTGAATTCTGCAAGACAGCTTGCAGGTAGTCTTCATAGTCTCAGACTGCACAAGACTATAATGAATAATAATAATAATAATAATAATAATATACATTTGTATATGATTTTGGTACTAAAAATAATATTAAATAAGATTTTATTTTAGATTTAGAGAAATTGAAAATCTCTATCTCTAATTAAATAATCTCAATCTCTTTAAATTAAGTCCCATTCTCATCTCAGTACTTGAAACTTAAGTTTTGGTTCCATTTCAGTTTGAATTATTAAGTCTCAGTCCCATCTCAATTTCTCATTAGTGCATTAGAGATGAGATCTCAGTTGGGAAATTTCTGTTTCTGTGGTCAGTTTACACAAGCTTCTTCATCTTTGATCAATAGAATCTGTGTGCTAGCAGTTCATAAGTTCTTTCACTCACAAAGTGACTCATCAGAGATAAATCATGATGTTTTTTAATCAGTTCAATTTACAGAACTTCACTTGTGAGTATGTATAGATGCTTTCTCATAAAGAAACAGCTCTTCTTCTCTGTTTAGTTTGTGAATTTAATTGAGTCTAACTCAAGACTCTTTCTAATCTCTATTGTGTGATTGTCACCAGCAAGCATCTCAGGTAACATTGTCATACTGTGAGAATTTGGGATTGTGAATAATGTGACAATGATTCATCAGTCTTTGTAAGTGAGATAAGATTGAGTGGGAAGTGATTATGAATAGTTTTAAGTATGAGAGAGAGAAAGATAATCTGTATTGCTACAACAGTATTTAGAGTCTCTAGATATATTGCTACTGATTTTTGTAAAAAAGCATTTATGACAGATTTTGTGTGTTTAACTATACTAGTAAAATTATGTAGTCAGTCATAAAGTTTACAAATTTCAAATGACATGAATCATGATCATTTAAACATTAAGAAGATTTTATGAACTTTTTTTAAATAGTAAAATGAATGTACAATGATCACAGTATTAAGTTCTACAATTTAACTTTCAGTTTTGTTGTTGTTGTTATTGTTCTAATTCATTATTTTTCATAGACTTTTATAAAGTTGTAGACTATGAAGAGCCACTCTCTCTAATTTAACTTAATTATAGCATGTGTTATTTTTGATATTTGAACTCTCATCACTTCATTTCATTTAAGTCTTAAACTGTAGCATGTTCAGAAAAAATCAAGATCTCTAATTTAACTTTTCATCAAATTCTTCTCTTAGATCATACTCTCTAGGGAAATTCACACAAAATCTAGAGTGTAGCTGATATATCTAAACATAACAAGAATCAATAGAAATTTAGAACAAGATGTATAAGATCACACTAAGACTGATAAGCTCAGTCTATTAACTTAATTTGATATATGCTTATGTAACTTTCATACCATCATCTACTCTAAACTTTTCTAGTTTCCAGCCGTCAATAATTTTATCTTCTAGAAAAAATCATCTCCACTCAAAGAAGAGACTTTTCTGTTGGTAAAATACAATTTAAAGATAGCAGAATTTAAATCCATGATCTTCTTTTCCAGATGATTGTTTCACAAAAATAACAAATCAATAATCATGTCAGAAGAATTTCTGCAGACATTTATCAACTACATCATATATTTTCTCTGACTTTCAGTTTTGTTTCATTGAAATTTCAAAGAAATTTCAACAGTTAGTCTAGACTTAATTTTTTCTTTTTTTAATTTAAATGTAATATACTATTTAGACTGATCATTGAAATTTCTTTGAGATCTCAATGAAACAAGACTAAAGGTCAAATTTAATTCAGTTGATCTCAATTTCTTCTCAAAATTTGAAAGTTAGTCTCAATTTCAGTTCAAAATATGAATAAAAGTTCCATTCTCTTTTCAGTTTTAAATTTTATATTTTAAGTTCCATCTCTAGATTTCTCTATCTCTAAAACAACTTTAATTTTTTTTCAAACTTTATTTTGAAAGTGTATTTTTATATCAAAATATGACAAAATAGAAAAATTAGCACATCAAGTCAAAATGCATATATACATTTGTATATGAGTTTAATACTAAAAATAGTATAAAATAAGATTTTTTTTTAAGTTCAGAGAAATTGAGAATCTCTATTTTCAATTAAATAATCTCAATTTCTTTAAATTAAGTCTCATTTTCATTTCAGTACTTGAAACTCAAGTTTCAGTTTCATTTCAGTTTGAATCATTAAGTTTCAGTCCCATTCCAATTTCTATTAGTGCATTAGAGATGGAATTTCAGTTGAGGAATCTCTGTCTCTGTGTTCAGTCTATTACTAATAATATATAAATTTAAGTTGTCAGAATTTTTACTCTTACTGCAAATAAACAGATTTTTAGCAAAATTCTCAACTTATTAAAAATTTAAAACTAACTGATTAAGTTATTAACTATTCATTTATTATTACTAGTTTTGTTGAATTTTTAACATCTAATCAGACCACTGTTGAAGAAAATAATTATATCAACAGATAGTTTTGATTGTGTAGATGTAATAAATGTTATTCTCATGCTGTCTGTCTTCTCAGACAATAAAGTAAAAGCTTTCTAATGCTCAGACACACTAAGTTTAATATCTAACTAAATAAAACACTATTTATTAGTGATTAAATATAAAATTATCTGAAAACTGAACTAGAGAAAGATAATATGCAATCATCTTATTAAATAATTCTAAACAGAAGAATGAGATATTAAAGACAAATAATTAATCTAAAATATAATAAAAATAATCATAAAAATATTTCAGTAATTTGATGTAAGCTACATGAAGAGTAAATAATTAAAAATATTCCTAAAGCAGACTGTCATAGAGATTTAAAATTTCATTAAGTTCAACATCTGATAATCTGACCAGAGAATTCTAACACAATGTGAAAAATCAGCTCAGATCTTTCATAGAATGTGGTAGAAATTACGCATAAAAATCCAGCCTCAAAACTTATAATTACACTACACTACATTGGGCCTAGTCAATTTCTGACTCATCTGAAGTATTGCGGCAAAAATTCTTTACCCCGTACAGAGTACTCCGTACTTCGCAAAATACAACGACGAAGCCTCCCATTTCCCTCGGACTTACTCTATTCATGAATAAGTACCTGGAACACTATTTTCTCTCTTCTTACTAAGTATCACTTTTTCCGGACTCTAGGATTTTGATTTGCGTCGATGTCGAAGCTTCAACCTCCCCCGCTTGCAGCTATCCCTCCACTCAATATACGTGAACATATTTCCCGTAAAGAATGGGTGGTGTATTTGAATTCATGGATTTCGTCCATTGAGTTTCGGCTAAGCCTCTCAGATGCACAATTCGAGATGATTGCTTCTAGAGACTCTCAAGCTAAATCGTTTTTATCTTCATATTTCAATTATTCCACCACTAGTTCTGGCCCGGGTGTAAACACGTTGCGCCGCTTATGTTTCCTTTTAGGACGGCGTCTACTACTATCCGGTTGTCATACACCGGAGCTTTTCCTTGACTGGCGCTTCCTCGGCGGGTTTTGCACCGCCTTCAATTCTTGCGCTGCTCTCCCAGGGCTTCTCGGGGATGTCTGGCAACGAACTTCCAAAGAACTGACGTCCAAAATTGAAAGCGGGAAGCTAGACATTATACAATTTCTTTCCCTGGAAAAGGGCGAGGTTGATGCTAGTGTTCTTGTTGACATGCGGCACTTAACGATCCTCGCGCTCTTTGTTCCAGATGTCGGATATTTGCTTATGATAGGATCTGATTATATTGATGCAATGGTTGAGACATACCAATGTAAGAAGAATGAACTATTGCAGAATGCTATAGTGGCCAATATGTACGTGGCATTGTCCTCGCTGATAGCCCTAGAATCTCCCGCCATATCCTTATTTTTGGATCAGCTTTTCAACCTGATGTCCAATCCCGACATTATTACAAATGTGTCGGAGGGTCTACCGACACTTCTTTCAGATCTTCTTTGCAATACCGCCCTGCTGAAGCGAACGGATACCTTTTTTGCGGAACGATACTCGAAACGTGCCACAGATTTACTATCCTCCTTAATATCATACCAAAGGAGGTGTTGCAACATATATACCGCTCCCCGACCCTCTCGCAATAGGGACAAAGTGAAGAAGCGTGAAACCGAAACCAATGAGACCCACGAATTCCATATCAACAAAATACCTTTTGTAACACGGGTTCTCGACCTGTTTCCAGAACTTGAACCCGCATTCGTCTCCGCAGTGCTTGATTACTACTCCGGTGATACTGAAGTTGTTATTTTGCATCTTGTAGAAGATTCTTTGCCCTCCCATCTCAAGACCAATCTCTTGAATCAGACTCACTATTCCCATGACCCACCAAACATCAAGCCACAACTCAGTCCTCCTTCGTTTACTCGAAAAAATATATTTGATTATGACGAACTTGACCGATTAGATATATGCACCGACAAATTATTACACCTCGGCCGAGCAAAGGTTAATTTAAACGCGGACAGTATGCCAGCAGATAGGTCTGGCCTTTTAGCCAACAGAACCGCCATTATGTCTGCGCTTGCAGTGTTCGACTTCGATGAAGATGAACGCGATGATACTTATGACATTGCAGATGTTGGTGGGACTATCGATGCGCAGATCAGTTTCGATCCCGAGACCCCTCGGTCTTTAAATAGTGGGATAAATGAAGAGAAAGAGTGCTTTCTTTTCAAGGTCTATAAATCCGACCCGAGTCTATTCAACCGTGATGCTACAACACGTCGGTCACCACAACGGTCCTCTCTTCGAAAGGATACGAGTTTAACCGACGAAATTATCGAGGCTTGGGGAACGATGTTATCTAGAGATCCCAGGCGCAAAGCCAGGATTGAACGTGATTACGCGCTTTCCATGGGAGTGTTCGAATCCAATCAACATGATTTAAATCAACAAGGCGACGATGAAAAGGTGCTTCGTGATAGTAATGGAGCAAAACGCGCCGTTCATGGAAATTGGCGGAATCGTAACTTTGGACGCCAGGAGGATAGCGCTTCTAGCTCTCATAGTTTGAGACACTCTGTGATGGCAAAAGATTCTAAGAAAAGAACATATGCAAATTATAGCAGGCGGATCCAACGGGGAAAAAGGATAACTGGTGAATAGTATTTCTGAAATATTTCTTTAATCTGTTATATTTTAGATGCTTTTAAAACAATTCCTTTGTCAATTCTTGTATCACATTTACTTGGTACCTCTTAATAACACAAACAATTTCCCCAAGATTAAATATACCTCTTTCCCCAACTTACCTTGTTGGAGAAAAGGGGCAAAAGACATCATCAACAAGTCAGGAATGATGTGGTAAAAAAAAGTTTTGTTGTATCACATTCTTTTGACACTCGGCCAACATTCGAGCTTGGTTGGCGACATCACCCAAATGCCCTATCACTTCCTTATTCCCATCAAAAAAGGTGAATATCGCATACGGAATCGCCACCTCTTTACAGAATTCCTTCACCAATTGTTGTGTTCGACGCAGATTGTGGCGCGGAATACGGGGGTACAGGTGATGAATTGCTTGAAACTGAAGGCCACCATGAAAAAAATCCAACCAAGGGGGGCAGTCGACATCCATGGTAGTTCGAAGCATTTTTTGCGCAAAAGATTCGTTGACGCCCAAGTCGGCGGTGGACATTGCGAAGTGGGAAAGTGTGATTTGGACATGGAGGGGTGCCGTAACCATGTGGCTCACCATAACAAAAAGACAACGATTACGCCAATCTGGAATGCCCAGAAACACCACCCCATATCCGAACCAGACCCAGAAAAAGATTTGGCCGACAATTTCAAACCAGCGATGCCACCAGGCTGGCCCTTTTCTAGGGGCACCCCCAAAGAATAAATATTCCCAACTAAGACGATAAAGATTAAACCGCCCGAAGAGTAGAACGGGATAGTATAGGTAGTTCTGGTAGCGTGTAAGATATCGAGCAGCGCCATCATACTTCATGATACGATCATAATATGTGCTTCGAAGGCTACTAAAAAAACGGTGGGAGACAGCGAAAAACGGCAGGTGTTCAATATCGGGATCATGTTCGGGTGAATTCGTGACAATATGGTGCACGTTATGGCTTCGTTTCCACCATCCAAGACTTAAGCCGCCAATAAAATCCGCAACAATTATTCCAATAACGGTGTCCGTATGAAAATGATGGGTAATACCCATGTGGCCAGCATCATGAGCAGTAAATACGAGTTGATGCCACATACATCCGAGAAAGAAACCAGACGCGCCGTACCAACCATAGCGAAGGAGGAAAAGAAAAAGCCCAAATAAGATGGAGTAGCGGGATAGTTCCACTAGGTACGCAAGGTAATTGCAGTCGTATAATCCTTCGGCTTGGATGCGCCTATTTAATTCGCGATATTTCTTAGCAATGTAGGTTTGGTGTTCTGGATCGAGGGGAGGGTATTTCGCAACATCGAAAGCTATCTCTGCCCGGGTTTGCGCATCAAGAATGAGCGGCTTTGAGTCTTTGTACTCTGGCTGAGGGGGAGTGAAGGTGGCGGAAGAAAGTGAAGTTGTACTGGATGGCCGTTTTCTCAATGATTTATCACTGTCAATTGCTTCAAATAGTGGAGAAGGGGGGTACGAGCTATCTTGTGCGGACGATTGGGAATCCGCAACCTCATTGGGAGCTAAATGTTCTGATTTGGAGCAACGGAATACTCCTCCTTGGATTGGTGGTAGGAAATTGAGCCACTGCCCTTCAATTCGACCAATCTGGAACAATTTCATTCGTTCACGCGCTTCGTGAGAATGCAGTCTAGTCTCAGTTGTTAGGAATAATTTTTCTAGAGGATGCTTTGAGCAGTCTTACGCGTTAATTTCATCTGTGGCGTCTCTTCCGATCATATGCTTGATAGCCTTTTCACCGCCAGGATGAAACTGCAGCCAGGCATCGACTTTCAAAACCCTGCCATCGAATATGACAATATGCTTCCCACTGGCAATGAGGCTTTCTATATCCTGGCGCGAGAGGAGAGTAATGTTCCGTGTCGGAGGTAAATTTAGTGCCTGAGAACCGACGGCCTCTCCCCTCCTAGCCTGCGCATTTGTCATCGAATTCTCCGCGAATATACTTAATTAAGTAGAAGGAGGTACTTGGCACAATCGGGGCTGAAAGTCGATTGAATGTTGACTTGTCAGGAATCGGAGCGACACGTGTGCTTAATTATCCACGGTTTTTTTTTGTGGTGTTCACAGTGCTCTGTGTAACTAGTTAGTTAATGGAGGTTTGGATTAGGTACGAAGTACGGAGTACTCCGTACGGAGTAACTATTTACTTAAATAACTTACGACTACGGATCCACATTGCCGCGATATCAGGAGACCTTGGCCCTGGGTGGTCGTCCTCAAGGATGATGAAGAACTTACGGAGGTCGCCGCCAAAAGTTTTGATTCCCACAAAATGTCTAATTCATTATTTTTCGTATCTGGCTTAGTTACAGCATGTATTATTCTTGATATCTGGCATCCACCACTCCGTTCTGTTTTCAGTCTTAAACTGTTAGTTAGCATGTTCGGGGGGGGGGGGGGTTAAGATCTCTGCTTAAGCTTTTGACCAAATTCTTCTATTAACCGCTATCAGGCGTACAAAGAGAACGTGGAAATCATGTGATTGGAGATCTGTAATGTTCAAGTTTGATCAAATTCTAATAAATTCAAAGTCATTATTTATCTACAATCAAGTTCTAGAACAAAATAGTACTATAGTAGTAAGATCTATATAAAACCACCTTGCCTTTAATAGTCAAACATAATGCAAAATTTTCATTTTTGAATATATCTGATAGCAGTAAATTTCAGATTGTTTAATTTTGTAGATTCTTGAGAAAATTGAATAATAAGTTAGACAACTTATTTCATGTTTGATATTGTAACTAGGCTGACCACAGAAACAGAGATTTGCCAAGTGGGATCCCATTTCTAATGCACTAATGGGATATTGAGATGGAAATGAGACTTAATTTAAAGAGATTGAAATTATCTAATTAGAAGTACAAATCCTCAATTTCCCTAAACTTAAAATAAAACCTTATTTTATACTATTTTTAGTATTAAAATCATATATAAATGTATATATGCATTTTGACTTAATGTGCCAATTTTTCTATTTTGTCATATTTTGGTGTAAAAATACACTGTCAAAAAAAAGTTTGAAAAAAAAATAAAGTTGTTTTAGAGATAGAAAAATTCAGAAATGAAACTTAAAATATAAAATTTAAAACTGAGAAGAGAATGGAACTTATATTCAGATTTTAAGCTGAGATTGAGACTAACTTTTGAATTTTGAGAAGAGATTAGAATCAACTCAATTGAAATTGATGTTCAGTTTTGTCTCATTAAAATCTCAAAGAAATTCTGATCATGAGCCTAAGTTTTGATCTTATTTATAGACTGTGAGTTTAGAGTTGAAGTTATGTAAGTTATGACATATTTGTCTTGATTTATAACTGTTACATCATGTGTGATGTAATGTATGATGCAGTATGATGCAGTATGATGCAGTATACTATGCAATAGTTGCAATAGTTTTGTAAAAAGTAGTTATACTTTTTAGAAAACTGAATTATTATATGAGACATTTTATAAATTCTGGTTTCAGTGGCTGATACTTTCTATAAACCAGAATATCTATAATGCAGATTTATAGAAAGTTGATATAACTGAGTATAAAACTTATTAAAGCTGAATATAATGTGCAATAGTTTATTAATTTTGAAAATAAATTATGCAATATTGAATTTTATAATGTTATTGATAATGTCACATATGATGACATTTTATATGATATGATATATATTATGATGTAATTTATCATCTCAATTTATTATTCTTTTCTTGATTAATAATTTATACATTCAATACTATGGTGATAATCTTATTGCTGTATCTCTATTAGAAAATAAAGTTTGAAATAAACTTTTATAGAATAAGATTTGAACTAATTCCAAAAGAATTATAGATTAAACTTTACATTTAACTATGATTTATGTATATGACTTTGTAAATGTTATAGAAGTTATACATATTATACACATGTTATATAAGACAATATATAGACTATAGTATATAACTTTGATTATATTTGAAAATGTTATATTCTCACATATTTTGATGTAAAAATACACTTTCAAAATAAAGTTTAAAAAAAATTAAAGTTGTTTTAGAAATAGAGAAATCTAAAGATGGAACTTAAAATATAAAATTTGAAACTAAGAAGAAAATTGAATTTTTATTCATAATTTGAACTGAAATTGAGACTAACTTTCAAATTTTGGAAATAGATTGAGATCAACTGAATTGAGTTTGACTTTCAGTCTTGTTCCATTGAAATCTCAAAGAAATTTCAACAGTCAGTCTAAAGATAACTGTTAAGTGATTTTAAGTCTATTAATCTTTATGTGTGAGAATATAACATTTCCAAATATAATTAAATTTATATACTATATATTGTCTTAAATAATATATGTATAACATGTATAACTTCTTTAACATTTACAGAGTCATATACATAAATCTTGATTAAATATAAAGTTTGATTTATAATTCTTTTGAAATCAGTTCAAATCTTATTCTATAAAGATTTATTTCAAACTTTATTTCCTAATAGACTTACAGCAATAAGATTATCACCATAGTATTGCATGTATAAATTATTAATCAAGAAAAGAATAATAAATTAAGTTGATGAATTACATCATAATATGATATTATATCATATAAAATGTAATCATATGTGACATCATTAATAACATCATAAAATTCAATGTTGCATCAAAATTAATAAACTATTGCACATTATATTCAACTTTAATAAGTTTTATAATTAGTTATATCAACTTTCTACAAATCTGAATCATAGATATTCTGATTTATAGAAAGTATCAGTCACTGAAATCAGAATTTATAAAATGTTCCATAAAATAATTTAATTTTCTAAAAAGTATAAGTACTTTTTACAAAATTATTGCAAGTATTGCATAATATACTGCATCATACTGCATCATACATTACATCACACATGATGTAACATTTATAAATCAAGACAAATATGCTATAACTTACATAACTCAAATCTAGATTGACCATTGAAGTCCCTTTGGAATTTCAAAGAGACAAGACTGAATGTCAATTTCAATTGAGTTGATCCCAATCTCTTCCCAAAATTTGAAAATTAGTTTCAATCCCATTCCAAAATATGAAAACAAGTTCCATTCTCTTTCTAGTTTCAAATTTTTTATGTTATGTTCTATCTCTAGATTTCTCTATTCCTAAAACAACTTTAATTTTTTTTCAAACTTTATTTTGAAAGTGTATTTTTACACCAAAATATCACAAAATAGAAAAATTGGAACATTAAGTCAAAATGCATATATACATTTGCATATGATTTTGATACTAAAAATAGTATAAAATAAGGTTTTATTTTAAGTTTAGGGAAATTGGGGATTTCTATTTCTAATTAAATAATCTCAATCTCTTTAAATTAAGTCTCATTCCCATTTCAGTACTTGAAAGTTGAAACTCAAGTCCCAGTTCCATTCCAGTTTGAACTATTAAGTTCCAGTCCCATCCCAATTTCCCATTAGTGCATTAGAGATGGAATTCCAGTTGGGAAATCCCTGTTACTGTGGTCAGTCTACTCAAATCTAAACTCACAATCTATAAATAAGACCAAAAACCCCCACTGCAAAATGTAATTAACAGAACAATTTAACAATTTCTTTCAATATTCATTGACTATTTCTTCTATACTATTATTTTCTGAACTCTATTATCACTGTTCTCACTTTATTCATTCATCATAATCTTATATATAACTATATACTTATATATTTATATATATTTATATAGTTATTAGTAAGTATATTCTACTAACTAAGCTTTTGTTGTATGAGCTTCTACTGCACATTGACTTGCTCACATTATGAATGTGAAAATTGTTGTTTTTAAGGAAAAATGAAAGAAATCTATATAGACTGATTGCAGAGACTGAAAATTTTCAACTGAGATTTCAATTTCCATTCATAATAAATTAATTGAAAACTGAGATAGGCTGACTGTTGGAGTCCCTTTGGGATCTCAATGGAACAAGACTGAATGTTAATTTCAATTGAGTTGATCCCAATCCCTTCCCAAAATATGAAAACAAGTTCCATTCCCTTTTCAGTTTTAAATTTTCTATGTTATGTCCCATCTCTAGATTTCTCTATCCCTAAAACAACTTTAATTTTTTTCCAAACTTTATTTTGAAAGTGTATTTTTACACCAAAATATGACAAAATAGAAAAATTGGCACATCAAGTCAAAATGCATACATACATTTGTATATGATTTTGGTACTAAAAATAGTATCAAATAATATTTTATTTTAAGTTTAGAAATATTAAAGATCTTTATTTCTAATTGAATAATCTTGATTTTTTTAAATTAAGTTTCATTTTCATTTCAATACTTAAAACTTAAGTCTTGGTTCCATCTCAGTTTGAATCATTAAGTTTTAGTTCCATTTCAATTTTCTATTAGTGCATTAGAGATGGAATCTCAGTTGGAAAATTTCTGTCTCTGCAGTCAGTCTAGAAAAACTTGAAACTTAAGTTTGAAATTCTGACATAAGAATGAAACTTAATTCAAAAAAACTAAAATTATTCAATTGAAAACAAATATTTTAGATCTCTAGAAATCTAAAGTCACTTAATGCAATAATTTTTCTATTTTGTCATATTTTGATGTAAAAATACACTTTCAAAATAAAGTTTGAAAAAAAATTAAACTTGTTCCAGAGATAGAAAAACTAAGAGATGAGACTTAAAATATAAAATTTGAAACTGAAAAGAGAATGAAACTTATATTCATATTTGAAACTGAAATTGAGTCTAACTTTCAAATTTTGAGAAAAGATTGGGATCATCTCAATTGAATTTGACTTTTAGTCTTGTTCCATTGGGATGCCAAAGGGATCCTGACAGTCAGCCTAAATGAAATTGGTACCATGGTTGAGAAGAGAAGGTGGGAAACCTACAGTTCCTCCATTTCTCCTTCAGGTACATGATCACTTGACAAGTCACCTGACTGCTCCTGTTCAACAAATGTCAAGACTTTTTACATGCTAGTCTATACTGGGCCTAGTATGATAACTTGACCCGCTAAAGTTAGACCGCACCTTATACCTAGCCTGTATAACCACTAGTTAGGAGAATACGGAGAACGTACCTACTCCGTAATCCGATACTCCGTAGTATGCCAAACCTCCTGAATTCCCGTATGGATGGTTTCCCCCAATCCACGACCTCTCTGGCCCTTAGTGTGTCTCCACTTATCTTCCAATGGCGTGCGTTTTTCAGCTGTCAAAACACAGGGTTTGTAACAGGTTTGGCCTGCTATTGAACACCCTTTCAAGTGACAGCCACCAGTTCTACATACGCCGTGCTCCGTACACGCAAACATTTCAGCTTGCAGTTGCTTCTTTTTTCGATCCATGGTTAGTCCTTATTAGTATCATCTACCTTGCTATTAACATCACTTAGCTAAGCTTTCATACGATCTGGGCAACAGGAACCTCTAAGCGTACTTATTGAGAGGTGGTTAGATTGGGATCAAGTATGTTGTGGCTTTGTTCTTCCGTTAGAGAAGTGCCTGCCTCATTATAAACACTCACAGGACCCAAGAACCAGAGAAGAAATTATCACCCTGCGGAATGAGCGGGATGTTCCTGAACTTGAAAAGCGCCTACGGCACCGTATGAATGCCTACTCTAGTTTCAGAATTTTCAGTTGGAAAAGACTAATAGTAGCCTGGTTAGGTATACGGTTCGGAACCGCGGGCCTGCGCGGCCGTATGCTGGCCGGTTTTTCTCATATCAATTGCCTTACCGTGATTCAGGCTTCTCAAGGCCTATGTAAATTTCTCAAAAGTTCACAACAAGGATCGACACCGCTATCTGTTGTTATTGGGAGAGATGCTCGATACAACTCCGAACTATTTGCATTGCTCGCCGCAAATGTTTTTAGTGAAGAAGGGGTCAAAGTCTGGTGCTTTGACAATCCTATACCAACACCGGTTATACCTTATACGGTGTTGCTGAAAGAGGCTAATGCCGGTATCATGATCACTGCTAGCCATGTAGGAGTTACCGCTATCCAATGATATATTCCTATGCTGATACTGTGTAGAATCCTGCCCAGGATAATGGTAGGCCATTCTACAGCCTTTGGACCTACGAGCATTTACTAACCACTTACTTGAAGGGTACAAAATGTTTGGCTACTTTCGTTGCACGATAGTATAGTATACTCACATATATTTACTAGTTACTGTTCCAGAGGCACTCAGATCAATTCACCAATTGATGTGCGCATCGCCGATTTCATAGCCCAAAATCTTGAGCCTTGGCCAAAGGTGTGGCAATATAACAAAGACGACTTGTGTTTAGAAAATTCGATATCCCAAGGTCTCCAGCAGACTTACCTTGACAGGGTTTGCAGTTTTGTTGTGCGTATTATGTGACGTGGAGATGACCATTGGTGCATGACTAACAACAGACAGGTATCTACAGTCGATAAGTGGATCGTGCCCACACCTTTTGTATACACGCCACTTCACGGCGTTGGTTACTTAATGATGTCAAAGCTTTGTCTGGCCCTAAACATTCCTGGCATCACTGTTGTGAGTGAACAACGGGACCCGGACCCTGATTTTCCAACAGTTCGTTTTCCAAATCCAGAGGAGGCCGGTGCTTTGGATCTTGCCATACGAACGGCCGATATCTCTGCAATTGACATCGTCATTGCTAACGACCCGGACGCTGACAGATTTGCGCTCGCTCAGAAAGTTAAGTAGGTTATTTTCGTCCTTTTATGCCATATGTGACCATCTCACACCGAATACCCTCATAGTGGAATCTGGTTCAAATTTACTGGGGACCAAGTCGGGACTCTGCTGGCCTCTCACATTCTGGACGCATGGAAAAAGGAATTACCACAAAAACCGATGGCTATGCTTAGCACCGCGGTATCTAGTACCATGCTTAGCAAAATGGCAACCAAGGAGGGGTTTCTGTTTCGGGAAACTCTCACCGGCTTTAAGTGGCTTGCTAATGTCGCAAGGCAGCTTGAGATGGAAGGATATGATGTTCCCTTTGCCTTTGAAGAGGCTCTAGGGTATATGTTTTGCAATGTATGTTACGATAAAGATGGACTTACCGCAGCCATGACTTTTCTTGCCGCACAAGCAAAATGGAGAACGGAAGGTCTTACTCCATTCACCAAACTACAAAGGTTGTACGAGCAATATGGGTTTCATGAGACTCTAAACACTTATTTCGTGAGCCCTGACTCGATCACCACTATTAAGCTTTTTGAGCACATTCGAAGCATTCCCGAAGAGAAGCGATGGTCTATTGGCTCATTACCCGTTATGAGATGGCGGGATGTTACAAACGGGTTCGATACAGATATTTCGGAGCCCAGTTCAAGGCTTCCTATCGACCCCACTTCTCAAATGCTCACCGTTTGGTCTGAGCGGGGGATTCGATTTACACTCAGGGCCTCCGGCACAGAGCCGAAAGTGAAAAGTAGGAATTGCATCGGAACCTCATTTACTTTCTCTGTCAATCTAACAAATTCTATTAGTATATATTGAAAGCTGCTGCCCCTTGCGTGAAGATGCAGTTGACGCGGTTGGCGTGACACTGCTGACTGTTTTGGAACACTGGATACTACCCTTTGCTCCTCTCATGACGTATGCAGTCACCGCAACCACAAGTTCTGGCTATGTTCTCGACCTACCACGTCCTTGAATATTGTCAACGGCCGCCAATTGGCTTCACGATCTCGTTGAACCATTTCCATCGGAGTAATATGGCGACACTAGGTGATGTGTATTCCCATAATAGCAACCACAGCCACTTAAAAGGGGCAAATTTTCCGCGATGTACCGTACAACATATTTCAGTGGTAAATAATTGCTAAACGATCTCACAAAATATATTACTATCTAATTTAGAACAACAAACTCAAGTCAAACTCGCCACTTGCATTTCTAACCGCAACACCAACTTCTGTGACAATAGCATCGATCAACCCGGCAGGGGTAATATCAAAGGCAGGATTCCAGACATCAATTCCGTCTGCTGCTATCTTCACTGTCTCCATTACAACAGGTTCCAGCGAACCGCTTCTCGCAATGGGACCACGAATCCTTGTTACTTCCAAGTGCTCACGTTCCTCGATCACAATATCAGCCCCAGATTTCGTTGCAGTGTCAATTGAGGTTCGAGGGGCCGCAACAATAAATTTTACGCCATGATATTTTGCCAGAACTGCCAGCATGTATGTTCCAATTTTGTTGGCGGTATCTCCGTTAGCTGCAACGCGATCAGCACCGACCACAATTGCGGCGATATCATTTCCCATCTTCGCCAGCAGCTGGCCAGCCATAGAGTCGGTTATTAATGTAGCCGGGAGCCTGTCGTGGACCATCTCGTACGCAGTAAGACGAGCTCCTTGGTTGTATGGCCGTGTTTCCGTGATATAGGCACGAGATAATTGTGACAGCTCTTTGAGACGTCGAATTATTCCAAGGGCAGTACCATACCCAGCTGTAGCGAGTGACCTAAATTTGATACGATTGGATTAGCTTATTACAAGCATCCATCCACAATAAGCGTACCCGGTATTGCAATGTGTAAGAATAGAAACACTTCTCCCTTCACCTGCTATGGGAATATTTTCGATAATCCACTGTGCACCATGTGCACCAATCGCCCGGTTATCAGCAATGTCATCAACTAGCATCTTTTCTGCAACTGATATAAATTCCAGGGCCACATCTTCTGCAGACAAGGGTAAGGAAGAGGTCTTTTGTGCGAGGCTAAGCTTTATTTTCTGTGCAGAATCACTTAAATTGACTGCAGTTGGTCGACTTGTGACCAGGAAATCCAGCTTTTCCTTGATAAACTGCACCATCTTCCCTGCATTATTTGGTATTTTTTTCTGAGATAAAAGGACCATCACTTCCACTGCCAAAGACAACACAGCAACAATGGCAATTGCAGGTGCCCCTCGTACACGCATTTCTTTGATTGCACGCCAGGCATCTTCAGTGGTGTTGATGGGAATGAATTCAGTCACATGTGGGAGCTGGAGCTGGTCAATAATCGACAAATGACCATCTTCATATCTAATTGCCTTAAGTAAAGAAGACATGGTCTAGTGTCATGAAATGCTTAATAAGGGTTTTCTTCAATAGCTCACTGACAGAATTAAAGCATTTTGTTCTAAGATTAAGATAGCTAGGTACGGATGTTGCTGCCAAAAGTTTTGGTCCCTCCATAAAATACAGAGCTGTAAATAAATTACAATAGATTACCACTATGTAACAAATCACATCTTGCCAAATCAATTAATCAACTAATTATTATTATTATTATTATTCATTATAGTCTTGTGCAGTCTGCAACTGTGAAGAGTACCTGCAAGCTGTCTTGCAGGATTTATCTAAAATACAAAAACAATAAATTCAATAATTAGAGAAATGATTATAGATAAGTTGATAAATAGAAAAAGTATAATAAGTGTCAGAATAATGATTTATATCTTTTCTTCATAGAAACTTAGAAATAAATGAAAAGATTGTATGACAAATTTTTCACAATACTCAATTAGTTTAATTCTGAAGTTATTTTCTAATTATTATTTAAGTTTATTTGAGAAACTTTTTCATTCATTTTAAATTTAATTCAGTGCTGAATAAAAACTTAAGTGACAGTTTTGAAACTTTTTCAAATACTATTATTTATCATCTTTTAGAACTAAACAATGTATAAATAAATATTTTACTGTTTTTTTGCAGTATAATGTTGTCAAACTTGTCATACTCACTGTAGACTAGATCTACTCTAAGAGCTAGTATTTTATTAGTTAGCATAGTTCTAATCTGACTAGTATTTAAAGTCATACTGATCTTTTTTATTATTATTATTATTATTTATTATAGTTTTGTGAAGTCTGAGACTATGAAGACTACCTGCAAGCTGTCTTGCAGAATTTAACTAAAATACAAAAACAATGATCAAGAACATGATCATAGACAACTTAATAAATAGAAAACATACAAGAGTGTCAGAGCAGTGATTTATATCTTTTCTTCACAGAAATGTAAAAATAAGTAATGAGATTATAATTTATAAGACAGATCTTTGAAAATACTTAGTCAATTTCATTCAGAAGTCATTTTCTGATGACTATTTCAGTTTCTTTGAGAAACTTTTCCATTCATTTTAAATTCAATTCAGTGTTAAAAAGAAACTCAAGTGACAGTTGTGAAATTTTAATCTTTTTCAAACACTGTTGTCTGTCATCTTTTGAACTTAAACAATTCATGAGCAAATGTTTTAGTGTTTCTTTGCAGCCACAGTGTTGGCAGACAAAGTCAAAACACAGCACTTGATATGAAACACCATCAATTCTAAGTTCAATTTACTGAAAATATAGTCATTGAAAAGCTCTTGTTTCACTTAGTTATTCTCTTCATTTCTGTCTGATAATTCACTGTGATGAATGAGAAAGCTCACATCAAAGACTGAATTGTCAGTTTTAACTATTCAGACACTTTGTCTGATCATTATAATACAATCATCTCCACTACAGCCCTGAAACATTGAAAATTGATTGCATTTATATCAAAGAATTCACATTCAAGAGAAAAGTACTTGTGCTCTCAAACTGATTAAGAATTCACTCAGTTTTGATGACTTTTCATCAGTCTTCCACAGTGAAAAGTTTTCATGTTTCTGACTTACTAAGTCAAAACCAGCAACATCAAAGCTGAATTGAAGTCTGAACTTACATAATTATGCCATCAATCTCTATTATACCCCATCAAAGTGGTACAACTGCAGAACACAACCAAAATTCCAACAGAACATAGAAATTTAATCACAACTCAGCCAAAACAAGATCTTTTTAAATTCAGTTTAATATTTCTGATTCTCTGATCAATTCTCTATCTTTCTGATATTCTATTGATTTTTTCTGGCCCTGATATTCACCTCCAAAAACTCAAAATCAATTGTCAGTTGAGATCATCAACAGCAAATTCAATTGCAACTCAGTCAAAACAAGATCTTTTTAAATTCAGTTTGATATTTCTGATTCTCTGATCAACTCTCTATCTCTCTGATATTTTATCAATTTTCTTCAGCTCTGATTTTCGCTTCCAAAAAGTCAAAATCATTTGTCAGTTGAGGTCAGCAAAGATAAATTCAATCACAACTTAAACAAAACAACTCTTCTCTCTTTCTTATTTGTCTCAGAGACATAGACTCTCTCAGTCACTGATTTCTGCATTCATCAGCTGGTGGTGGTTAGAATTACTCTTTTATAGTTAGAATAATCATACTAGACTTATTGATTTTCTAGCAAAGAGAAAGACTTTTTACTTACATGTCATAACAGTTTCTTCCAGTTCTTCTGCAGTTGGAATTTGACTTTGCCTTGAGATACATTAGTGTCTTGCAAAGAAGAATTAGAATTGTAATCTGAGGTTGAAAAAGAACTGAGTTATCTTGAATCTTAGATATTGATTCTGAGATTCTGATAAAGTTGCTTGTCACTCTTCAAAAAGACAAGAAGAGATTTATTTCTGGGCTTGACTCTTCAGATAGACAGAAACAGTACATAAATCATTCATTTTCTGTAATCAACACAGAATATAGGGACTAAAGTTACACTCTTGAAGTGTGAGGATAGTTGATATATTGAACTGAGATTACAAGTGATTTACTTAAGTCTTCCCTATCAAAAAGACTTTCAGTTTGACAATTCTCTTGAAAAATTGTTAGTGGGTTCTTGTAGGGTGGCAGCCTATAAGATAGATGCTAAAGAACAATGTATCAAGTCTACAGTGTAAGAAAGATAACTAAGTTGCACTTATAGTATCAAAGTAGTATTGCTATATGCACAGTAAGAGAAGAACTCATTGCTGACCTTCTGTGAGAGAAGACCAGCATGGGTTTTAAGTACTAGTGAGTGTGAGCAAGTCAATGTGCAGTAGAAGCTCATACAACAAAAGCTTAGTTAGTTGAATGTACTTACTAATAACTATATAAATATATATAAATATATAAGTATATAGTTATATATAAGGTTTTGGTGAATGAGTAGGGTGAGAACAGTGATAATAGAGTTCAGAAAACAATAGTATAGAAGAAGTAGTTAATGAATATTCAAAGAAGTTGTTGAATTGTTCTGTTCATTACATTTTGCAGTGGGGATTTTGGTCTTATTTATAGACTGTGAGTTTAGAGTTTGAGTTATGTAAGTTATGGCATATTTGTCTTGATTTATAAGTGTTACATCATGTGTGATGTAATGTATGATGCAGTATGATGCAGTATATTGTGCAATACTTGCAATAGTTTTGTAAAAAGGAGTTATACTTTTTAGAAAACTGAATTATTATATGAGGCATTTTATAAATTCTGGTTTCAGTGGCTGATACTTTCTATAAACCAGAATATCTATGATGTAGATTTATAGAAAGTTGGTATAACTGATTATAAAACTTATTAAAGTTGAATATAATGTGCAATAGTTTATTAATATTGGAAATACACCATGCAACATTAAATTCTATGATGTTATTGATGATGTCACATATGATAACATTCCATATGATGTAATATCATATTATGATGTAATTTGCCATCTCAATTTATTATTCTTTCCTTGATTAATAATTTATACAAGCAATACTATGGTGGTAACCTTATTGCTGTAACTCTATTAGAAAATAAAGTTTGAAATAAACTTTTATAGAATAAGGTTTGAACTAATCCAGAAAGGGTTATAGATCAAACTTTATATTTAATCAAGATTTATGTATATGACTCTGTAAATGTTATAGAAGTTATACATGTTATACACATGTTATATAAGACAATATATAGTATATAAATTTGATTATATTTGAGAATGTGATATTCTCACATTATTCATTATAGTCTTGTGCAGTCTGAGACTATGAGGACTACCTGCAAGCTGTCTTGCAGAATTTAACTAAGTTACAAAAACAATGATCAGAGACATGATCATAGACAAATTAACAAATGAAAAATGTACATGAGTGTCAGGGCAGTGATTTATGTCTTTTCTCCACAGAAATTTGAAAACAAATAATGAGATTGTAAGTGAGATCTTTAAAGATACTCAGTCTGTTTCATTCAGAAGTCATCTTCTGGTGACTATTTCAGTTTGTTTGAGAAACTTTCCCATCCATTTCAAACCCAATTCAGTGTTAAATAAAAATTCAAGTGACAGTTGTGGAATTTTAAACTCTTTCAAACACTGTTGTCTGTCATCTTTCAGACTTAAACAATTCATGAGTAAATATTTTGATGTTTCTTTGCAGTCACAGTGTCTGCAGATTTCTCTATCATGATTTGATAGTCTTATTAAGTAAGAATCAAAGTAATCATGACTCAATTTCAACTGAATAATTGTTGACCAAATCTGTTTGGGAAATGAAAGTGGACAAGCTTTCCACTTTGATTTTGAATTGAATTGAGAGTAGTGATTTACATCACTTTCATTTTCAAAGATGTATTTCAGTCATTCAAGCATTGTCATTTCTTTAATTTGTCTCTTGATGTAAGCAAAAGAAACATACTTTTCAGCACAGTCTTATCTCAATTCAGTTGCTTTCTTTGCAGCAATATCAGCTTCTTCATTGCCAAAAATGCCCATGTAAGCTGAAACTCAGTGAAGATGACACTTAATGTCTTTAGACTCAAGTTGTTGAGCAATTTTTCTAATTGATTCAATGTAGAACAATTCAGCTTTCATAGTCTGTGCATTGAGTCTCTGAATGACAGCTTGACTGTCAGAAAACACTCATAGTTCTGAAAAGATTCTTGAATTTGAAAGAGTCAAAGCATTGGAGAAAGTCTTTTCAATTGCAAAGAGTTCAGCATCAAACACTTCCATATGTTTGCTCAATTTTCAAGAAAATCTTTGATTTATTTCTGAAATATAAAGACCTGCACCAGTAGTCAGATTTTCTGACTGTGATCCATCTGAATACATGGTTAAAGAGTCTTTCAAATTGAGAAGAAGTTGTTGATGATTTTTCTTTGTAAGTATCTTCTCTGCTGAATCAATTTGAATGTCAATGATTTCATTCAGACTTGAACTCCAAGATTTATTCC